ACCCTGATCACCTCTTTAGGGTTTGACAGTTACCCTTTTTCCTGACATTATGCTGGAAAATTACACAAATGCAGAATCTGATGCATAGATCTCGGAATACTGGAAGGTCATTTGTTTATCATAAATATGTTTGAATGTTCACAAGTATCCTAGCATTGCCTATATTTTGAATAAGTAATCTGCTTTACAAAAAATAATTTTTCAAATGTACATTGAATCTATTATGATTAGTATAAAATTAATTTCCAAAAAATGTTCATAATAGTTTTTAAAATAATGTTCTCAGTTATTACATTTAAAAAGCAATTATACTAATATAACTACACCATAATATCCTGAATTTATTTAGAATAAATAAATACTATATTGAATACTTACATTTTAGGGCATATTTCAAGCATGTAATCTTTATTTCAGTTTCAGGATAAAACTCTGTAGTATTAAAAATTACAAATATTGAATGTAGTCAGAAAGTTTATTCTTCTAATGTTGGACTTCACAAAAGGCAGGATTAAAATTGTCAGGGTTAGTAGAAATACAAATCTGTTTGCCTCATGTAAAATCCATACAATCTCTTCAGCTGTACAACCAACATACTGGGCAAACCTAAATATTCAAAAATTTTGCAATTCTGTGGTCAAAATATTCTAACTTGAATTTAGTCATGGGACATTTTCACTGTGAAAAGGGGCTCTCTTTCCCTACTTTCCAACATCCGAGACAGCTGCTCCATTAACACATCACAGAATACTTAAGGATTAAAATTATGATTGCACTTTGGCTCTAATGGGTCAGAAAATTTGTCTCCTCAAATCCTGTCAAAAGGAGGGCTGAAGAAATACCTAAGAAGTCAAGAGCACTTGCTGCTCCAGCTTAAGACCCAGTTTAAGTTCCTAGCACCACATTACAGAATTTGCTGTCTATATCTCTAGTTTCAGGGTATCTGGATCCCACTTCTGGCCTTCATGTGCTTCAGGCATACATGTGGTGCCTATATGTACATTCAGGTAAAAACACAAACTCATAGGATAAAGTTTTAAAAATTCTTTAAAAGGAAAAAGTCTTTTTAAAAAGAGTCACTTATGCACTCACTGATAATTAGCCCAAAAGCTCACAATATCCAAGATACAACTCACAGACCACATGAACAAGGAAGACCAAAGTGTGGGTGCTTTGGCCCTTCTTAGAAGGGGTAACAAAATACTCGTAGGAACAAATATGAAGACAAAGTGTGGGACAGAAACTGAAGGAAGAGCCATCCAGAGACTGCTTCACCTGAGTATCCATCCCTTGTGCATTCACCAAAGGTAGACAATGATGTGGATGCCAGGAAGTGCATGGTGACAGGAGCCTGATATAGCTGTCTCCTTAGATGTCTGCCAGAGCCTGAAATATACAGAGGTGGATGCTCACAGCTAACCATTGAGCTGATCATGGGGTTCCCAATGGAGGAGTGAGAGAGAAGACTGAAGGAATGAAAGGGTTTGTGGTCCCATGAGGAGAGCAACAATACCAACCAACCAGAGCTCCCAGGGTCTAAACCACCAGCCTGGGAGCACATAAGGAGGGACCCATGACTCCAGTTGTATATGTAGGGGAGGATGACAGTGTCAGGCATAGGTGGGTGAGGAAGGTCTTGGCCCAGTGAAGGCTGGATGCCCCAGTGTGGGGAAATCGTGGATGGGGAGGTGGGAGTGGGAGGATGGGTAGAGGCGTATCCTCATAGAAGCAGGAGGAAGAGGATGGGATAGGGGGTTCCTGGGGAGGGAAGGGATTACATCTGAAATGTAAATAAAATATCCAATAAAAAATAAAGCATATATAAATTTAAAAAAAGAGTCACTAAAGGTAAAGAAAGTTTCCCAATGGTATGAGTTCCGCTATCTCTATATTCTGATATGCAGAAGGCTTGGAAGTTCAAATGAACTTTTTCTGTAATGTTCAGCATTCAAACTTCAAAGCCACACAGTAAGAGGAATGGAAACATCACTCCTCTAATTTCGAAGTTAACTCACTAATTAAACATATCTCATATTCCATTTTCAAATTTTTATTGCTTTCTGTCTTTTAAAATAAAGAAGGCTTTTTACCTCAATCATAAAATAAAGATCATTAGCTAGAGTAAAAATTTGATGTTCTCCTTTTCGCTGTACATACTATTTGCTGAGATCTTGATTAAGCAGGAGAGTTAATCATGGCCTGCTGACTGAAGTCACTTTGCTAACATCAGCCTTTAAAAGCTTTCCCCAAAGACCCACTTAGTTAACCCAAGCTCAGTCTTATAGATAAGCTTTTTGTAAAAGCTATTAACCAATGGCTTCATAATTTTATAAATTTCTAGTTTATAAATGGAATATACCATGAGCTTTTTGATCCAGCTGTACGGAGATGGAAATCACAGATCAGCAGGCTAGATGAATTTAACAAGATGCATCTGTTCTTCAATATACCCTCCGCTCCCTCCTCCCTCCCTCTCTCTCTCTCTCTCTCTCTCTCTCTCTCTTGCTCTCTCTCCATATATATATATATATATATATATATATATATATATCACCTCTTTCTCTTTCTCTCACCTGTCTCTCTCCCACTTCACCTCCCCTTTCTCTGTTTTTAATGTATGAAATACTGTTTAAAAATAAAGAATGAATTTTTTTAGCACTCACATTCACACACACACACACACAACTACAGAAAATAATTTACTCAGCAATAAGCTAGGTTTCACAATAGCCTTGTTGTCAAAGAAACAGATATCATGGAGACAAGATACTGTACAAACTGAAATAGTTATGTATTGAACGAATAGTACAACTAATGATTATGAAATTTTCTTTAACAGGAAAGAAAACATAAACAATATACTTTAAAAACACTTTAATAAATAGAACATTGATTTGCTAACCCACCACAAATTAATTTCCATTTAACCACTGCAATGTTAGCAATTATACTTTACTATATAATTCAACTTAAAAAAAATAAACTTTTTATTGATTATTTTATAATTCCACTTAAAAAATAAACTTTTTATTGATTTTTTGTGAGTTTCATGTTTCACTTTATGTACCCCAGTTCTGTTCATCTCTCCATCCCCTCATATCTGCCCCTCAGCCTTACAATCCCACCAAAATAAAACACACAAGCAACAGCAACAATAACAAAGCATAGAAAACAAATCATGGAAGCTGCAGTATGTCACAGTGTGTCCCACAGTATCTTCACTTGCATATCTTCACTTGCAAATGTTCATTGCTATGAGTCATTGGTTTGGGTCCAGATCTCTGGCTTCTGTAATACCATCAATACTCATCAGGACTTCTCCTAGTCATCCTCTTGTTCCTGAGTCATGGAGATCCTACAGCTTTCGATCAGCAAGACCGACCCTTTTCACTTATCCCAACCATCTGCAGATGGTATAGATTTCGGGGTGTGCCAATTCAGAGTTCTGGAATCTTGGCCTGGGTGGGAGCTGAGATGAGCACTCTCTAGCTCTCCCTTATCAGCAACCAGCGTCTAGCTTTGGAGCACTGCTCTGGCTAGGAGGCAGAGTCAGCTCTTCTGCTCTCTTGCCTTTGGGGTCCTCTCATCTGCACCCATGCCTCCAGAGGCAGCCCCTGTGTTGCCTAGTCTAGGTTCATGGCCCACTCCCCCAAGTGCAGCAGCTTGTAAGGAGCTGGGACACCTTCCTAGCTCTTGGACCCTTGGAGCTGTAGTATCCATGCTTTTACCCTCAGGGAAATTTCTACTGTATTTCCCAGGCAAGGTGCAGGGCCTGCTCTCCTGAGTGCTACAGCAGGTCAGAGGGGCAGGACTAGCATTTGTGTTCCTCTCATTACCCTAGGATCATTTCTCTAGTCTACTGCAGATGGTGAGTTTGGAATAAGAATCATTCTTTTCCTCACACTTCCTCACACCAAATTCATGGGGGATAGGAGGGGCAGCTCTCCCATGCTCTCATCCTAGTGGTAAGCTCACCTTTGCCCTTTCCACCAGGACAAGCTCTGCTCTACCGCCCAGGGGAGGTACAGTGCTGCAGTCAGCTAGGGGCAGGACCAGCTCACCCATTCTCATGATCCCATAACAAGTTTTCCAGATTGCTGCAGGTAATGAGGGTCAATGGGGGCAGGAAGGTATCACCTTTGCACCCACACCTCTTCATAGCAGATGAGCGGTGAGATCTTTATCTCCTTGCTCAGTCTTCAACCTGCTCCGCCTCAACCAGGGACAGCCATATTGTGTTATACAGGAGAACGTGTTGCCCAAGCAGGACTCATTCTTCAGAGTGATGTAGCCTAAGAAGAGCAGCTCTACATCTGCAGCAGATGATGAGATGCAAGGGATACAAGACATCCCTGTGTGCCCATGCAAATCCCTGGCAGATGACTGACAAGGTCATCTCTCCCACACTCAATCTCTTGGGACTGGCTCTTTTGTAGCCCTACTGCCAGGACCAGCTCTACTATTTTGCCTAGGCAAGTACAGGGCATGCTTTCCCAAGTGTTGCCACCTATAAGAGATGATTCCAGCTATCCAGAATGTCACATCCAGTGATGGGCAGGGCCAGATATGCAGATATCCACATGGTTCCTGGTGGCTGCCCTGACCAGAGACATCCTCATGTTTTCTATTGATAATATGATCCATGGACATCAAACAAAGCCCCCTGCCACAGACTCAGGGACTCATCCATGGCTCTCAGTGGCAACTGGGGTTGGGATCTCACTATGGTCCCAGGCAGTAGGGATGATCATTCTCCACCCGGAAGTCTCTAGTTCCATCTTTATTCATAATACTCAAGCTGCTCCACTTCTCTTTCTCTCCCATCTAACTACCACGTATTCATATCTTCCATCCATGTTGCATGACTTGGTGGCAAGCAAGTATCTATGGCCTTTCTGTGCCATGCACTGGAGAGGAGGTCTGTGGGTAGCATGGCAGTCTGCAGGTCTCTATCTACCTCCTCTTGCACTACATTGCCTGGGATTAGTTTGATTTGATTTTTATGAGTCCTAGGCTTAAAACAACTTTGGCCCCCAAGTCAGGCATCAAGCTAGGATGAACAAAAGACTGCTATCTGTTCTGCACCTGACTGATATAAGAACAACACCAACAAGGTATCTCTTTGCCCATTGCCAGGGGGCTAATTCAATTTTTAATAAGGTCACTAATTTTATTTATGGTGAAGTTAAGACTGAGGCAGGATCACTCTTCCTATCATCACATCTATAACACTGACAAAGTATATAAAACATGTTTTCAGATGGTAGGCAAAAGGTGTTACAAGATATTCTCAAAGCTTTGTCAGGGAAGAAACGCTAATGGGGACAGCCCAAAAATAAGCCCAGTGAAAGTTGAGCAGAAGAGAAAATGGCTATCTGGTGCCATGTCTGAAATTGGTGTTCAAATGAGTGACAGGAAGTAATAACCAGGTGAAATAAGCTCCTTTAATCCCCAGGACATGCACGAGACACCACAGAAAGACAAAGGCAGAGAAGCACTTAAAACTTCTTAGAGCATTTTAAGGTTCTGGGCTAAGCCCAGAACCTTAAAATGCCCAAGATGCAACTCACAGGCCACATGAAGTCCATAAAGAAGGAAGACCAAGTGGGGGTGATTCGGTCCTTCTTAGAAGGAGCAACAAAATACTCAAGGGAGCAAATATGGAGACAAAGCGAGGGACAAAAACTGAAGGAGGGGCCGTCTGAAGACCTTTCCACCTGAGTATCCATCCCATGTGCAGTCACCAAAGGTAGATGCTGATATGGAAGTCAGGAAGTGCATGCTGATAAGAGCCTGATATGGATGTCTCCTCAGAGGTCTTCAAGAGTCTGACATATTCAGAGGCAGATGCTCACAACTAGCCATTGAACTGATCATGGGGTTCTCAATGGAGGAGTTAGAGTGAAGACTGAAGGAGCTGAAAGGATTTGTGGCCCCATGAGGAGAGCAACAATACCAACCAACCACAGCTCCCAGGGTCTAAACCACCAGCCTGGGAGCACTTATGGAGGGATCCAGGGCCTTAGCTGAATATATAAGAGTGGAGGGCCCTGCTGGGCACAGGTGGAAGATGAGATCCTTGACCTCATGAAGGCTGGACGCCCCAGGGGGTGGGAGTTTTGAGGGTGGGGAGGTGGGAGTGGGGGGGTAGATAGAGGTTACATCCACAAAGAAGAAGGAGGAGGTGTGAGGGGATTGGGGGTTCCTGGGTGGGTGGGGGATGGGGTAAGGGGACAACATATGAAATGTAAATAAAACATCCAATAAAAAAATTAAAAAAATAAATAAATAAATAAAATAAGAAAATACTGTGGAAAAAAAAAAAAACTTCTTAGAGCAAAATTTGGAAATGCTAGAGTAGTGAGAAGATAATCTCTAAACACAGAAAATCAGCCGACAAGCTAAAATCATGTCAAGCAGAAAAATAAAATAAAATCCAGACCTTCATAGCACCTACTTCTCCAAATCCAGAATCCTGTCAGGTCATTTTAGAGAAATCAGAAGATAATAATTCTCAAGTGATTAAAATGGAACATACATAAAGTAACATGCAGACTGGGTAGATTACATTTAGGAATATATATATATATATATATATATATATACATATATATACATATATATATATATAGTGTGTGTGTGTGTGTGTGTGTGTATACACACATACTCATATAGAGAAGAAAAAGAAGGGGAAAATGACTTAATTATATTATACTATTAAAAATGAAATAAATACTCTTTAAAAATAGAACTAAAATTTACAAGAGTAATTCGATTAACAAAGACCCTGAAGAACAGTACTATAAGAATGTTGACAAAGTTTCCAAGCAAAACAATAGCAGAATGAGCAAAGAATTAATTTTAATAAGAAAATGTAAACAAAACAAGCACATGTAGATTCTACAAATTAAACATAAATAAATGAAAAATACATTGTATGATTTTAATGATTAGATTCTACCAAAGAAGAGAATAGTGACTTCTATGATTGAGCAACTGATACAGAGCAAAGAAAGAAAAAAGTTTAAAAATTAACTGAGCTTCACAGTTTGAGCAATGATTCTTACTTCAACAAAATCATAATCAGATTTTCAAACTATAGCAACAACAAAACCACAGGGCAGAACAGAGACAGAAATGTTTGAAATACCAAGTACTCATAAACTCAAAGTTTTAACCTATGTGTAAACAAAAGTCTAAGATAGTCACACATCAGAAACAGAATAACACAAATCACAGCTAAAGCACATAATAAAATGAGTTGCTGTCAATGAATAATAAAGAAACAATTCTTAGTAAAATAGTCAAGAAGAAAGTGTCATACCAGAGGAAAATGTCAAAATGATCTTTGACTTGGCAGCAGAAACAAAGCCAGAAAACAGAAGAAAATGATATCCTAAAGTGCTTAGAGTAGATACTCCCATTTTAAATCAGAAGCTGAGTAACATAGCATTAACAACTATATCAAAACATAATGTGTTCTTCAGAGAATGGGGAGAAAGCTAGAACTCAATTTCTGACACAAAAGTAAATATCAAAACAGTAAACATATTAGCAAGTATAATCTATTTGCCTCATTTTAAAAATTGTTTGAAAATGTAATTAGGTTCTCTAGTTAAAATTATGTCTACCATATGATCCAGTTATGTCTTACCTTGGCATGTGTGCAAAAGACTCAACACCTGTTGCATAGCCATTCTCATTACTGTTCTATTCAGAATATCTAGGAAATGGAAGCAATTCAAATCTTCAGCTAATGAATGGATGATATATATATATATATATATATATATATATATATATATATATATGCATACATACTAGGGATAACTATTAAGCTGTTTAGAAATTGAAATAATAAAATTTGGTAGTAACTAGATGAAACTAAAACATATTGTACTGAGTGAGGACCCAAACCCAAAAGGCAAACACCCTATGTTATCTCTCTTTCATGGTTCCTAGCTTCAATTTTTCAGGTGTTAGTATATAACTTGAATGACACATGGATGCCAGGAGAGGAAAGGGGAGTGTGGGCATGGGTGAAGCACCTCTACAGATGGGGATAGCAAGAACCAAGTGATGTGAATGATAAAGTGAGTTGGGAGAGTCAACACAGAAGTAAAGAGAAGAAAGAGGGACAAATCACATTAAGGCTATTTGGAAAGTACATAATGAATCATATTTTATGTTGACCTAGGATAGCATATACTAAATGTAAGTGTATGTACATACACATATATAGCTTAAATGAACTTCTGCCACTTGGACTAAGAATACTACCCGCAAGAGCTATCAGTATGAGAATATTCCTATTGAGTTGTTGGTCAGAAGAGACAAAGGACTCCCCAAACAGTGTAGGCTTATGAATGTGTGTGTGTGTGTGTGTGTGTGTGTGTGCGTGTGTGTAAGAGAAAGAGAGACAGAAGCAATAATTAAAGAAGAGATCATACATTTGAGTAGGAGAAAGGGGACAGGGCTGGAAGTGTTGGAAGCGATAAAAGGAGGAAACGATATAATTTAAATTGATTTTTTAAATGCTTACATTTTAATTTCAAGGTATTTAACTTTTTAACCCATAAAATTTAATGAAATACTATAAAGTTCATATGTGGGAGTAAAATAAAACACAAAAAGGAACAAAACAAAAGGAATGCTGCAAATTCACTGCAATTTAACTTAACTTCATAATGAGGGTATATATTACTGTTAGTAGACAGTAATAGCTGTAAATGCTTAATTTAAGAAAAGGTCTTTTCCACAACTAGGCTGCTTGTCAGAGGCCAATATTCTATAGACCTGCCATGTTGTGACACTTACATATAAGTGTCATTGTCCAGACACAGATGCCAGATTTTCCTGAGAGCTGACTCTATATCACACTTCTCCTCTGGTTAGAAATTGGCCAGAGAATAATATTTAATGACGATGCTCCCACCACTGGTGTAAGACACAGTGGCCACCCTACCTTAGAATAAAAGCAAAATGAATTTTCCACAACAATGGTCTTGCTCTCCCAGCTGCTTTCAAACTTTGTTATTAACATAATTGCTTGGTTCTTTGGCTTTCTTATTGATTAATTTTTGGAGTTTGATATATTTTCTAAATGAGGCTTACTGTTTTCAAAACAGAGTGTTCTCAAAAAGATGAGATACAAGTAGCTGAGAAACATTTTAGAAATCTTTTCTGTATCTTTATCAATTGGAGAAATGTAAATTAAACTACTTTTCAGATAGTATCTCACACAGTAAGTAGGGGTTAGGTCAAAACAACAAATGACCACAAACGCCAATGTTAATGTGAAGGAAAAGAGATACTTATTCACTGCTTATGGAAATGAAAGTGGGTAAACCCTGTGTGGAAATCAGAGTGTATATTCCTCAAAAAGCTAAAAGTATATCTTCTTTATGATCCAGCTATACAACTTTTGTAATATATATTACAAAATATTTCAGATCTGGACATAAAGTGCTCATGCATGTTCATGGTTGTTCTGTCGACAGTAGCCAAGAAACGAAAATAGTCTAGATAGACATTAACTGATAAACAGACATTAAAAATACATTATATTTACACAATGGGATATTTTTCAGCTAATGAAAAAATGAGATGATGAAAGTCACATATAAATTGATTGAGTTGGAAACAATCATTCTGAGATCACCAGATTTAGAAATATAAATGTCATGGTTTTTTGTATCTGCAGATGTCAGTTTTGAACCTCTAGTTATATGTTACATTTGAAATACTCATTGAACGCTCTTTACTTAGGCTTACTATTAGCATTAGGGAGGAGTATTCATGAGGAAAAAAAGATAGAGTACACTAATATAAAGTATTATGAGGGGTTTATGGAACAGGAAGCATTATAATTGAACAAAAGTAAAGGAAGAAGTACGGAGTGGACAGATAGCATTAAATACCTTTTAAGAAACATGTATACATGTGGAAACTTACTACTATAAAAGCTTCCTAACATGCACACACATACACACACACACACACACACACACACACACACACACACAAGTTCATCTAAACACTACTTCAAGTTCACTTAATACCTATTACCCATGTGCCACACTGGTTCCAAGAAAGCATCTCTTCTAAACAGCATTTCCTGATTGGCTGGCATTGTCTGCATC